TAAAAAATTGTAAAAATAAAATCATATGTTGTGATTTCTTTTTTTTTTTTTTTTTGATTAAGTCTCTCACAGTGAGTGTGTACCTACGATGACAATTCCAACCCCCTCCATATTTCTAATTGGGAGAACTTGCGAAATAGCAAGGTGTTCAAATACTTATTTTCCTCTCCGTATCTGGAAATAAAATCGATCCAATGCATATTATTCATGATCTTTATGTTTGTCAGTCCATAATATGTACATAGGGGCCTTCAGAGAAGAGCAAAGAAATCATGTTTGGTGCACATTGTGTTTTATAGTTTGTATATGCATTTTATCCTCTGTTAATTATTCCAGCATTGACCAAAATATCAGAGACTAGGGTCTCCATTATATGGCTCATTCTTTTTTTTTATTTTTATTTTTATGTCCATAGCCTGTCTTGTGACCAAGTACTGTGGTACTTTTTATTTTCAGCTAAACAAACACAACACTGTTGCAGCATTTCCTCTGGCAATCTTCATTTCTCTAGAAATATAACATAATACACTAAAGGGAACCTAACAAAATATTTCTCACCAGGCTGGAAGTTGAAGCACATATTGTTGATGTTCAGGTAGCATAAGCACGATCAAATATGTTGTCTAGGAATCATGTGTTTGCTAATGTTAGGAGGCTGGGATTAATCATTTTAATAAGAAAATGCCGATAATGATATTTGGCTGAGTGGACAAAACTCAGGAGTTTGTATGCTTGCCCATTTTGTGTGTTAATGAACACATAGGAGTTGACTGAATGAAACTTAACAGCAATCAGGCCTCATCAGGACCAGATCCCAGGCACTACAAATGGCAATTGTTGCAGCTGTGTGTGTGTGTGTCTGTGGGTGTAGAACTAGGCAGGAGGATTGTTTTTGTGGTAGCAGCTGTGAGTTCAGCGCCATAGCCAGAGACAGCTCTCCTCGGTCAGCTGACACAGCTGAGCTCAGTGGAAAATGCAAAAAAATGTGTGTTGGTGTCTATATTTGCTCTAACACCTCTTCTCACCTCTTATTTGTGGTCCTCCATTAATGCTGCTACTTGGGGAGAGGTCTTTAATGAAACCGATTCTTGATTGTCCACATGTAGCTACTAAGAGCAGCCCCCGCAGCTGTCAGACTGTAAATCTACTGCTAATTAGCAAACCTAATGAGGGAAGCCATCAAGGGAGCTAGAATAAAAGCCTGTAAAGCTGCCAATGATGATTACAAGTTCTTTAAATGATTTCCACATACATTTCAGCTCAGAAAAAAAGCTTGTGACCAAACAGGCCAGTCTAATACTCAAAAATCTTTTTTTAATCAAAATTTTTAACGTAATAATACGACTGTGACTTTGCAGTCTCTCAAAAGTTACTGAAAATGCACATATGACTGCAATATTCAGTGTGGACACAATTACTGAGTGAGGAAAGAGCAAAGTTATCAACGGGATAGGAAAACAAAAAGTCTAAAAGGAAACTTCATTCTTATACTGAGCCATGCATGCCAAATATTTGCTCTGTGAGAGAGAGAGTAAGACTTGAAGCAGCAAACAGGAAGTAAAAATGAGGTAGAGCAAAATTACCCTCTGCCATTAAACATGCTGGATATGGATTCCAGTAGAGGAAGACTGATATTTGGCCAGATATTTTATGCAGATATTATAATAATTTATTTTTTTTTGTATCAGTATTGGTTGATATGTGTATGCGCTAGCCGATTTATTTGTCGATTCAGCAGCCATAGCTTCTGTTTATGTGAAGCTATATTGTTCCCTTCATTTGCTAACGAATTGGAAATGTTTTGCTTTTTTTTTTGTCTTTTTTAGAATAAGAAAATCCAATATACAATTCAAAAATAGCCCCAACAATATCAGCACATATCAGGGATTCGATTAGACTGCTGTCAAAATATTTTCAGTGGCATTAAAAAAATCCTGTACTGATTGATTTCAGTATCTGAGGCAATAGGAAAACCTGGTGGACTTATCCGATTTGCCATTGTGCTCCTCTGCTCCTCTGCAGTTAGCTTCTATAGCTAGCCCCGACCAGCTGTAGCCTCTCCCCGCTGGTGCCGATTCCTCAGTGGGCTTCTCTGCTATGCCTTCTCTCCCCGCTCTAGGGCACTTATTCCTCGTAGGGATCCTCCTATCTCTCGCTGCGGTTCCTTGGTTCCTTAGTAATTTTTTTTTTTTCCAGTTTTCTCACACTGGTTTCCCACTGCTTCAGTTTGAGCTCCAGAATATCATCTCACCTAACCCTATGTTGTCTGGGTGATTCATTCTCCAGTGCGTGACAGGAGGGCCCCCAATTGGGTCACGGATATGTTGAAGTACCTTTGAAAGCTACCACCATCTAGCCTTTGGAGGTGGAGGCATTGTCCATACTGGTTTCGCCTCTCGGACTCTAGTTATCCTAGAAACACAGACTTCTTTGTTCTGCTTTCTAAAATAAAAAAATAAATATAAAACCGAAAGTCGCATTGTAAATCCATGTTTCCCCTTAATCAGTGGAAACCAACAACCAGCAAAATCCATGATGTTCTTTGCCCGTTGTCCGAATTTGCCTGCCGTGAGAAATTTTATCGCTTGCCAGGTGAATTTCAAGACGAGCAAAAGTAGAGGAACCTGGTAAAGTATTTGCAGGTTTCGCTTTCAGTGTGAGCACACCTCTAGAACTCCCTACTGCTGCCAAGAACAAAGTAGTCAATAGACTTAAGGGAATTTACCAAAACCACTGGAGATAAACTCACGTACTAGGGAATTAAACAAATAATTGACTTACGGTTAATTGTAATAAATGGTTAATTACATGAAAATTTGTTTTATACGATTATTGATGATGTCTGCTTAGAAGGAGGGCGGTCATTCTTAAGAAGAGCCTTGCTGTTATTTGCAGGAGAAGTAATGCCAGAGCGGAGGTATGCTAGACATAAACATCAAACGATCCAGAGTCCGTTCCAGGAGTATTAACATTGTTTAATGGCGTCAAGGATGCAGAATAGACTATCACCTGAATAGCGCCCATTTAGTCGTGCTGCTTGGCGAAGCAGCGTAACTTTTCCCCTGTGTTTTGACAGCGGGGATGTAGTGAAAAAAAAATCAGACAGCAGAACATTTGTAACATAATAGAAAAAGGCATGCTGGAAATAAGCACGGTAGAGGGGTTTTTAGATTCCTTTGAGAGAAACAAACCCACTGATTTACAGGTGGTGCTAACAGCAAAATGTCTCTTCCAGCATTCATTACTGGATTATGCTACAAACTGAGAGCCACTTTACAATTACCATCCACCTCAAATGAAGTGGCAATTGTCTGCGTGTGAGAGCAACATATTATGTATTTTAATGATGGATTCATATCTCCGTACATTGGAAATCATAAGCGTGTCACCCATTGTATTTATATTTTTTCAATAAGTCACCCTGTTTTAATATCCCTTATAGGTATGTCTATTATAATGCGTAAGGTCAGGCGCTCTGGACAATAAATATTTTAAATATAATGATGTACTACTTTTTTTTTTTATAATTCGGCATATTATGAAATAAATATTTAGCCCTTCATTTTATGGAAAGATTCTCTTGATGCAAGAGAAAACTGATTTTTAAGGATGTGACCACATTAATATTATTTAATTTGAGATCATTTCATTAATTGATAACTTGCATCATAATAGGTAATGTAGATTTTTTTGGTTCCACCTGAACTAAATGCTGGTAATGCTTCATAGAACCAGGTACAAACAGCTTCCTGCACCAAATGTGTCAGTTTGCTAGCAGCAACTTATGTTTTAAAGTGGTCTTCTGTTTTCTGCTAATGGTCTGCTGGGAAAAACATATGTAAATCAACAATGTCTACCAGCAGGAGGGTTTTTTTGGTAGTATTTTTTGCAGTTTAATCAGGTCACAATATATGTAATTTTGTAAAATATAACATTTTACAAAAGTTATCCGCAGTGAAAAGAGATCAGACACTATATTAAATAGGAATAAGCTGGAAAATATAAGTTTTAGGTTTGAATATTTCCCCTGTAGTAGCATTTTAGGGATGCTTTACGGTTTGTTAATGCCGAAAACATTCTTGGTGTCAGACCATCTGATATATATATATATATATATATATATATATATATGTAAACTGTATGATGGAAGATATAACCTTAATCATCAGGAGCAGAGCATTGTAGCATCTCGGCATCAGGGATTTTAGAAATCTACATTTTTGTGCAGCTTGGGTGTCAACCAATTAGAAAAAACTAATCCAGGAATTTTTGGTAGCCAGGCACTACGTGCAATCCGTGATCATTTCTGCAGCGCTGTCAGCATAAGAAAAATGAATAAATAAATGTTTTTTTCATACACAGAGTAGGGTGCTCTGATCATCGTCCCCCCTTTAAGACATTTTAACATGCGGAAAAACAGTTTATAATACCAACATTAACAAAAAAGTTTCTAACTGAAAAATATTTAATTTTATATTCTGGCACTTTCACTTTTTGATGCTGAAAACTTCCCTATCTTATCATCAGGATCAGGTGATTTGATTCTCTGTTACATTTATTTTGGTTTGAAATAATTTAGACATTCCTGTCGATGTAGCAGAAAACAAAGTCTTGACCTGTGACCATTTCTCTTTATTGATTTCGGTTCTATGTGAGAAGTAACTAAATGAAATTCTATCTATATAGGATGCATTTGAATGCAGTCAGACACAAATGCATGTCTCCAAAATAAGGCAGATAAAGGCAGTGGCGAGCTGCAGCTGCTGGCTATGATGCCAGGAGGCGGAGCTTGTAAGCCCCCCCTGCCCTCCTCCCAAACACAGATTAACACACTCACCCACAGTGCTGTCTGCCCGCTCCCTATATATGCTGCTTCTGCCTGTCCCTCGCTCACATGCAGCTATACTCATGAGCGTGCTCACGCTATCCTTACTCAAGCCGCACTCTCTTGCTACATCCCACCTTCTCTTTCCTCGTCTAGCTAAACACACATGCAATTTTTATCTTACTCATACGTGCTCCTCCTCTGCATTTGCCACTTCAATCGCAAAAAATATTCTTTTTAGTCTCCTACACACTCACACTCCAGTTATCCCATTCTCTCTTTCTCTCTTCCTCCCTCTTTCTGGTGCACACACCCCCTCCTCCCTGTGTCAGTGCAAAGTAGAGCAAGAGCAAGGAGCCACTCGTTCATTTTTTTCCTGTCTTGTTCTGGCTTCTTTTGGCTGCATGAGAGAATAGGAGGCTATTTTTTTTTTTTTTTTATTGTTTTTATTGTCTCTTATCTTCTCGGGTCTGTCTGTCCTATGACGGGTTAAAGACAAGAGCTACAGGAGGAAAAGGAAGAAATACAGAGTCAGACAGAAGCAGGACACTGTCTCTCTCTTGTTCTGTCATAGAACAAGGGGCTGAGGAAAAACAGGGGTTTCAGCTGGGAGAGGGGAACCGGAGAAGAGGAAAGGAGGCGCCATGGGTCAGCTCTGCTGCTTCCCTTTCTCCCAAGCAGAGGAGAAAATCAGTAAGTGTCTCCGGCTCCCGTCTTCATGCGTGGGCGTGTGTTGTCGGTGAAGACAGTTGGATGGATATTCTCAATGGTGCTGTCTTTAGGGACAGGCTGCATGCGTGCAGATGTGCGTTTCGTCATGTCAGCGCTCCACACGTGTGTGCACATCAATATGCGTCTTTGTGCGGTGACTTAAGGACAAGGAGTGCCGGTGGAAGAGTCTGTGAGCAACATAAGATAAAAAGAACATTTTTTAGCAGTCTCAGGGTGAATTTAGTAGTAAATAAAAGGTCATCTGTTAGCTTAATAGTCTTTCTTTTTATGGGATACCAATGAGTCTAAGAGTCTCCTTACTGTCTTATCTTGGTTATATTTGGCAATAGATGTTTTACCTTTTTTATCCTGCTTTGTCAATATAAATTGGCTTAAACAGTATTGAGACCTTTTTTTCCACTCACCTGTTTTTCTTTCTGAATTTTTACCAACTGTTGAATAGCAGAGTATTTTGCAAGCAGTAGCTGGTTGATGAGTGCACATGTGTCCTTATTCATGACAGAACCAGAATTTACATCTAAAATCCTCACTTGTTTGCTCAGTTGATTTATTAATCATTAAAACAACAGGTTTTCTTTGTGATCTCTCTCCTGAAGGAAGCCAACAGTGGAGAACTGACAGGGGAGGCTGCATATTAACTCTTTGATCTTAGTTCTGTGTGTTTTGCCATTCAAGTCCGTGATCAGATCTAGATGTATTGTGGATTTCTTTCTCACCTTCAGAATGAAAACAACTCTAATAAGAAGCTTTTCAATGTTTTTTTTTAACATTGAAAATATATTATACACTTACCGGGATGATAAAATGCATACTAAACAAGGAAATGTATATGTTTTAACTTCATAAACTGACTAGAAATACAAAATGTAACAATTTTATCATTTGATTACAATGAGTTTTATTTAGAAATTGGTATTTTAAATTGGTATTTTAAGAAAATACAAAACCAAAGCACCAAATATCATTTTGTATTCTCATAAAAGCATTTTTGAATCAGTTTGAAATATCAGTAAAGTTCATTTCTGTTTGTTAACAACAATGAAGAGGTTATATTCTCCCCCCTGCTCTGAAATTAGTATGTTTGTCCCGTCTTAGTATGCAGAACTAAGCCTTATTTTTTTTTATATTTGAGAAATTTAATTAAATCGACACATTTTTAGGTCACCTACTATAGTCACAATGTATTTTACCCAGAAAGAACCACTTTCTTCTAAGGAATTCTCATTGTTTCTACAGAACTGATCCAATATTGAGCTGATACTAGAAAGAAAAAGCATGTCAAAGACTTATGGAGTTTGTTGTTGCTTCTTTGTTCATGTAATTCTAGGTCTGCACCTTTTTACTGGTTCTGAGTAACCCCAGGGGAAATTTTCCAACTCTTCTGTCTCTGGAATCAAGCTTTTACTCTCATGTTCTTCTTCCTCTTCTGCTTAAATCCAATGTTCTTACATCACAACCTATTCTTTGGTACGCAGGAATGCACGCCACAAGCGAACCGCTTCAAGATTTTGATATACAGTGCCAAGACTTTTTTAGGGATGCCAGGGTATGATTCTCTGCTCTGGTTTCCAGTATGGGCTTACATCAGCTGCAGTAACCGCTCTCTGGCACAGGAAAAAGCATTTCAAACTAAAAGCACCGCAAATATACATCAATGTTTGGCTCTCTATAGGACCTAAAGAATTCAATACAAATGTATTTTTAGCATCAAGAAAGATATTATAAGAAACACGATGAAAACTACCTACTCTAACAAAATTATACCTTTCTATTTACCTCTTAAAATCAGATGGAAAAGGACTGAGATAATAAATTTTTCTGTAATGACTAAGGAAAAAGTAGCAACTCTCACACTATGCAGAACATCTACCATTTCATTTATTTTTTGCTATCATCCATTAGTGTGCAGTCATATGGTACATTTCAGTCTGATTTCTCCACACCTAGTCCACCGCATCTTCCTCTGGAAGAGAGTGATTTCACAGAGTTTGGTTTGTTGCTCATTTGAGGCAATGTGGTGAGGAAACGGCTGAAATGGATCTAAAGTCAAAGTAAAGGTCTGAATTTCCCACCAGACGACAGCGATAATGAAGAGAAATGTCTGCTGTAATTTAAAGCGAGCTCCAGGGAGTAATTAGTGGTGCAGCTTGTGGTTTGATTAAAAAATTCTGCACTATTTCCTTTTTTTTTTAAATCCAAATAAAGTGTGACTTTTGTCTGCGATTTGAATGCACTGCTCAACGTTGCTGCTGCTATACGCTGCAGGAGAAGAGTTTACATGCTAAACACGAGGAGCATTAAACTAGATTCTACCTTTTCCACATCAAAGAATGTGCATATAAGTTTCCTTTTTTAAACAATTTAATTAGAAAGAAAAAAGCACAACTTAAAAAAGTAATTTAATTGCACTCGGCAAGGATAAAAACTTTTAATTGTGTTTCTCTATTCTACTCTTCTGAAGTATTCGTCTATGGCATTTGTTTTAAGTAGATGTTTTTTATGGAAGTATACAGACTGCATGTAGTGGTTATGTTTTACATTTTTATTGCTATTTAAAGCTTTAAAAATACCGTTCCTCTGTAGATACAGGACATGGATGACCAATTGATTGATGTAATGATTAAAAGAGGTTTCAAAGTACTGAAAAGAGCAAATGTTTGGTGGTTGTAAAATGTTTTTTTTGCATGCACCTTGTACAAGAGATCCTGCTGATCATCAAGTCATAAATGCAGACTTTGACTCCGAGCTAAAAAGCCAATTCTGAAAATAGGTTTGGAGTGTGTAGGTGCATGTTTGCTGTTTTACTGGCCTTTTTTTTCCCTCTGCTTCCCTGTCTTCCTCGCTCCCTGTGTTCTCCGCTCCATGTCCCCTTTTCTTTCTCAGCTTGCAGCTGCATTGCTATAAACAGTGAAGCCACTGTGCCCTACTTCTGAGCAGAGATGGAGAGAGAAGGGGAAAAGGGTGAGGCAAGGACTGAAGACTAATGAGGGGAGACGAAGGGAGCAGGCTTAAAGAGAAATGGTGTTTTCGTAACAAAGAGAGGGGAAGGCGTGTTGAGGGAGGCAAACAAATGTGTGTGTTTCAGTGTTTGTGCGCTTTCTGCGGGTCAGATGCCCCCTCCTGTTATTCGGCGGCATCCTCCCTCGTGTGCTCTGCAAGACAGGACCATGCATGTGGGTGTACGTTTGTTTGCACCATGTGAATTCAGCCATGACCAATATGACAAGCTGTCACAGTGTGGTGTTAGCAGTCACTGTAGGTGATAAACACATAAACATATTCTCACAACACCCTGATTCATGCAGAATTCCCACAACCTTATCATCCAGCCTTTTATCAATTAATGCATGACAAAGCGTTTCTGTCCAGTTATTGAGAATGTATTATTTTCTTATAAAAATCCTAATGTTTTCCTAGCAGATGTCTAACAGGACTCAAGATGTTGGTATTGCTAGTGTAGAACTGCAACAGATCACAATGAAATGGTGGTACGGGAGCTTAAAAAGGAATAAATAAATGCTCCTATGCAGATTAACATTTCAACATTTAGAATTGTCCACTATTGTAGAAACTAAACATGAATAAATACTTTAAAATTGGAGTTTTGCTTAATTGTGTCTTAATTAAGGTTTTTTAACGGTACACATGTTTAAGCAGTCAGACAACAAATGCATATGCCACAGGCGCTCACTGTGCTCATCCAGGGGACGAGCACACGTGCTTTCAGTGCGATGCGTAATGAGTCACAATGATAATGAGAACAGTAAGACGGTGTTTAGAGCTGGGCATTTAAGCAACAACTGGGAAGTGATTATGGTATCGATGGTGCTTGAAGACTTACCTGCTTGTTTCAATCCACATTACACAGTTTTAAGTACGGAAAGCCGACATGTCATAAATTCTGATGCTTTGCTACACGTTACTGAGTCTAATAACTATGAGTACCTCAAGTTATTGCCACTAAGTCCTTTGTTATAGAAGAGCCAAATAATTCTCATCAAAGTGAGGTCTATATGGCAAGGTGCTATCCAATAGCTGTCATTATTGGCTCCAGACCTGAAATACAGAACATCCTTCACCCTTGCATCCATTAACATTTCTAACAACTCAAGAGTTACAGGTTTAACTTTCCCTTTGGGATTAATAGTAGTTTTAAAACCAGCTAAGTGATTTGCTATACAACCCTTTGATTTGTGATGTTAAAGAGTTGGTGGCCAGCACAGCCTCTAGTTTTATGCTTTTAGGCTGTTTGTGTGTGTCCCTTACACAGGAAATGATATTACATAATTGCCTCATGGGAAGATCTTGTAGCCTGGCACATTTACTGGTACTGAAGAAGGGATTGATTAGATTGTGTTGGTTTCCTATGTCAAAATCCCCTGGAGGGAATTTAATGGCAGCCTGTGCAGAGCCTGCTTGGATTTGATAGTGAACTGGTTACCATTTGATAGTCAAGGTCACTTAAACACAAACAGCTTAAGCTCTGAACACACTCAGTTTCATTAAATAATAGTCATGAAATGTAAAAGTGCCCTGATTTAATGTTTAAGTTGGACTTGATTCCCTAAAGCTTAACATCCGTTGAATTCTCACCTTTCATCAAATATGTTCTTTAACGTTTCATGGCAACGTTTGCTAAATTATAAAGAAAACTGACTATAAATTAGTATTAATTATTCACTTTAATGATAAACATTCTAAAGATTCTAGTTGTGTGAATCAAGCTGAGAGTTTATGCATGTTTTTTCTACCTCTATGTTCGCGATCGCCCCAGCAGGATCCACGTCCCTAGTTGTGAACAAGATCTAAAGATCTTCCGTTTTACTTTGAAACCTTTTCTTTCCTTGCAAACATCCAAGCAGTCCTATCACTTTGTAGCATTGGATTTTATGATCTGTTTTAATAATCCTCGCCTAAAGGCAGCTTTACCCCTCACAGAGGAACACAGCTGGCCTGAAACA